AGAAAAAATAATTTCGTTCTTTTAAAATCACCCAAAGAATGCGAGCAAAAATTTTATTATAGCCTTGTGATAAGCACGACATGAAACAAAAAATCGAACAACATTTCAAAAGCACTTTAAATTGTGACCCTTTTCATTCCTTGTACTATTTTAAGCAATCCGTTTAAATGTGATTATCAGTGCATTAAAATGTATTTATTCTTAATCTTCATTGGAATGACATCGAAATACAGTTATGATCTTTTTTTGCCGAAATAATAATAGCGCAGTTGGAATGAATGATATACAAATGAAACAAAACGATTGGGGGATGGCGTCAAACTGGATTGACTTTTTTGGAGACGTATAACTGCTGAGAATGATTCATAAGGCGTTAGGCACGTGATGAACGGGTGGATTTTGTATCAGGCAAGCAAAATTCTAACCAAGAAGCTTGATATACAGCATTTTGCGGAATTGCAGAAAATCCTTACGAACTGCAGAAGATCAGAATATTGTTAATACTAAATGATGTATAATTAGATCATAAATAATATAGTCGCATGGATCAAAAAGTTACCAAAGCAGATTGAATATTTAGACGGTAAAAGAACAGAGGACAATCGTATAAGAGATTAACGGCTTCGAGAAATGCAAACTTGAGAAATTGCCTGCATAATTGTTTCTGAACATAGCAGTTACAACTAAAAATAGTAGTAAGGTGGTGAACTTAGGAGAATTTACACTGTCTTCGAAGGAAAATTTATTCGTAATAGTGTTTTGTTCAGCGTCGTGGCTCACGTTTCACGTTTAGTTACCGTAGAACTTGAAAATTTCGATCATATCGAATCAGAACTAATTGTATTATACACCGGCACTTAGTTGCGATGTTTAAGATGTGATAATAAATTATTGGTAAACATTCAATCAGAGAAGTTTTACGAAGGCGTTTTGTTAGTTACCTGTTTGAGATTTTTCGACAAATATTGCAGAATCGGAAGCAATGAGTATAGGAAAGAACAAGATTTCAATAGCATCCACATCGTCAAGTGTCGAATCACCAGTGCCGTCGTTGGGATATCATCACAATGTGCACGGCATGAGCTGGATCATCACGGGTCTTTTCGTGGTCGGTGATCTGGCTGGTGGCGGCATTGTTGCACTTCCCACAGCAACAGTGCAATTAGGTGAAAACCATTTTGGTAGTTGCATTAGAAGATTTCTCAGCGATCCAGAGTTCCAGAGGGATTCGTAATGGTTTTTTGGTCAAATTAGAACGATGATACAATTTCTTCATCAAGCATTTTTTCATTTTTCAATGATATCAGTGCATCTGAAAAGCCAAAAAGCCAACGATAATTGTTCATAGATATACACAATTCTACAGATTCCTTAACAGTTGCATCACACTTGTGTTGCTTACCAAAGAATGGTCGGAAATAGTGTTCGTCGGGGAGCAGTTTTTCGCACGAGGGGGGGGGGGGTACCCGCGGGGNGGACGTATTGCACGCATCGTTTTCTAGTTGCTGTTAAACTGACTAACAAGCGTTCTGAACAGCTGCAGAATGCCAAGAGGAGATGAGATATGAGGGCCGTGAGGTCATGTGAAGATAGGGTGCAGCATGTTTCGATCCCTTACTTCCTACCAAGAGATCATTTCAATGCAGAATGAACATTTTTGTCAATTTCAGATGTCTATTTCGGTTTGTTTTTAACGTTCGTTATGACGCTTTGTGTAGCCTATACTGCCTATATACTCGGTGAAGCTTGGGTGATATTACAACGAAAATGGCCGATATATCGTAGTCATTGCCGTAAACCGTATCCGGAAATGGCTGGTCGCTCGATGGGACGTATCATGAAGTTGGTTCCTATTTGTGATTTTCCGAAATAAACTGCCGATAAATCGTTTCTTAACAGTTACATGTGATCTACATGTGAGGCGCATTCGAACGCTACTTCAATGGTTGAAAAGCCATTAAAATGCAATCAAATTCAGTGTCAACGATGCCTTAAGCCTTCTACACTCGTGAAACTCATCATATTTTCAGCAGTATGCCTACTGGGAACTAAGCAAACAGCTCAGTTCCATCACAAAGTTTTCATGATAGTTACATGTGATGTTTGTTTTTATGCTCAAACGATTATCATGGCTCCTAAAAATGTCCTTTTCACAAATCGTTATTAATAGTAAACGATTGGCATATTTATTTTGTTATCAGTGTGACTACAATAAGATTAATGCATCTTCAAAAGAATACGTGGGACTGTTTGAAAGTGAAGAGATAAGAAGAATCTTGTGCTTAGAAAAAAGAATGAATTCATTCATGCTTGAAAGCTCAAATAATGGAGGAATTGAAAAAAAAACTGATAAATTAGCAACAATAGAAAAATTATGTGGATGCGAAGATGTGTCAGGAAATTCCAATAATACACCCAGTCGGAACTTTTATCGA